CATTTTATACAAACATTGGTATAAAATTTTTTTTCTCCTGCATTTACTAAAAACACATGGAAATCACTTTAAAAAACGCAATTGATGCCCCTGGAAAAGTCACAAATAGCTTTTACTTTTACTTGCATTTTTTATCAAACACAGGGCCTCTTTTTTTGTCATTTCAGTCAGCAGCATTTACTTAAATTAATGCGGGAAAGTTTTTTTTTTTGGCTTCTCACTATTTTTTTTTTGACTACCAAAACACTACTTATTTGTTGACAAAATCATTTAGAAGCATAGCACAATTAATCAAACTAAATATAACATCAGTTAATAAAAAATATGCACAAAATTGACATATTATTAATGCTTAATTTTATCATATCCAAAGAAAACACAACAACAATGCCTAAATAGTATCTAAGCTTAAGTTGCCACATTCAAAAACAACATAACCAAATAATGATAGAAAATGCCATTGTTGCTACTAACAATTAAACTCATTATAGCCTTAAAATATCATATCCAAGTGCTCAACATTGCAGCCACCAATAGCATCATTACTTTAAAATGCATGACTTAGTAAGGTTGGCACTCCTTGTTGACCTTAAAATGAAAACAAGATATAGTTTAAGTTGTAAAAAACCACTCAAAAGCTTTATGTAATCTAAAATATCATACCAAATGATTTAGCTAGTTACAAAAGAAACCAGCACTAATCAGTCAACAAAATCTAGGAAACATATTTGAAGATTCCAAATTGTGTGCCCAGTCAAAAGAACCTACCAAAAGACACATTGCAGGCTTTGCAGCATTGTAAGAGATAATAAGAATCATAGATTGTGTAACTTTGAAAATACTTGTAAGGCTTCTCCAGTACAAGCAAACCAACAAATAAATTTTAAATTGAACCAAACTTTAAAATAGAGGACCAACTAGCTGGTAAGTCCTAAAGTTCATACTACTAGTCAAGTCTAGAGAAACATAGCATATTAGCATGCCTAAGTTTTTGTTATCCGAAAGGTAGAAATACTAACAAACCTTATGAGCTATAGTCTTGCAAAGGCAAGGCACGCTAGTAAACCTTGTTGACGAGGAATGAACTGGGAATGATATATCGGGTGTATCTTTATTCGTAAAGGCTTTAGTACCTCTTATTTTCTATTTAATAATTTATTATTTTTTCCTTTTCCATAAAAAAAATAAAAGTCATACTTCACAAGAGTCCACTGTGAAACCAAACTGTCAAATTAATATTTATTAACCAGAGTCATCCAAAAAAAGCTAAAGTCATCTCATTGTTGAGCAACTTCTTCTTCAATAGTAGAAAAACTAAAGTAATCAAAAACATATTTAATTGCAGAAACTAAATTCCAAATTTGAAAACAATTTTAAAAAGACTAGGGAAGGAAATTCCATATTTATCACATGGAATAACCTAGGACACAAAGCATTCTCTATATTGGTGATGCCTTGTAATTTTGTATTAACCCTTTAAGTATTCAATTA